CCTCTGTGTTCCCATCTAGGACCATTCCGGAAACCATCGAGCACATCTTTCTTCAATTTCCAGGTGCAGTCTAGTTATGGCGATGGTGGGATAGGTTATGGAGGTCCTTTCATACCTCTTGGACTTGGCCATGGGACGGACAGGCTCTGTTATATGAAACCTGGTCTCCGGATCAACTGGATGATTTCTCTCATAACTTATTCATAACAGGCAGAAGAGTCATCCTCTGGGCCCTCTGGCAACGTAGATGTACTTTTGAAATGGAGGGAGTAAGGTTGGATGGCCCAGATTTTACAGAAACAATCAAGCTGCAGGTGCAGACTGTTATTACAGCTCAATGGGACAAAGTAAAAGAAAAAATTAACCTGTCGAATAAAAAAGAAATCCAACAGCACATCCAACTATTCAGTGGCACTTGGCTAGGGAAGCCTCAAGGAGGCAGGATTGGACAGATCAAAGAGAGTAGGGTCAGGGGAGAGAACAAAGAAAAGCAAGGGGACTATTGCCTGATATTCCATGATTGGACAAACGTGGACTCAACCGTACCCCTTCGCCCCCTATCAAAGTTCCCAGATCCCTTCCCCCCCTCCTCATTGTCCCTGGTCCCCATGAGTTGGTATGGCTGCGAATGAAGAGGAAAATGTCTTGATAAGCTGTAACCAACTAGATGGAAATGTCTGATCTGTCGTCCATAGAAGGCTGAAGAGGCTGATTACAGAAGGTACAGCAAGATGGGTAGGGAGGGTATTAGAGCGAATTCAGTATGACAGGAGAAATAGATGTAAAAAGTTGAGAGTCTAGAGAGATAACCCACAGCCAATCCTCAGTTTCTAACTTCTAACACAGTCAAATACTTCTCATCATTTTCTGGAAAACTATAACTTCTAACACAGTCAAATACTTCTCATAATTTTCTGGAAAACTATGTATAAGAGACGCTGGACCCGTTTTCCAGCAGGTGCAGCTCCCCACCAATAGATTGAAGTCAACAGGCAGCCTGCTAGGGGTGGGTGCTAGTATCACTACCCCTAGCAAGGCCAACTGATGGTTAAAAAAAGAAAAAGAAAAAAAATTGTCGACTGCCTGTTTTTTCTGCCCATTACAAATACAGGAAATACCAGGGTTGCCAGGGCGAATGTATGGAGGCCCCTAAGCTGACCCCCTAACGTTCGGGCGTGCGGGTCCCCGTACGGGGCCCAAACCTGAAAGGGTTCGGACCCCGCAAAAAAATATTTTGGCACCTAAATATTACTAGTTTTTTCTTAAATGTTTTGTGTGAGTTCTTTGTGATGTAAGGTATCTCCCTGTTAATTTTGAAGCCATTCTGTTCAGTTAAAAAAACATGAAAAATCGGCAAAGATGGTGGTGTCAAAACTTGCTTGCCCACTCGCTAATTTGTTTTTTCTCACTTCTGACTTTTTGTTTTTCCTTTATCTCGGGGCATGAAAAAAATTATTATTATTTCAAATTTTATTTGTAAATTCTCTATTATGTAAGCTACAGATATATAAATTTTCATGGCATTTGTCATTGCCAAAAAAAAACAAAAAATCGCAAAAGATGGCGGTGTCAAAAACGTGCTCGCCCACTCAATAATTTCATTCTCGTTTGTTTTCCCCTAATTTTTATCATTATTATTTATTTTTAGTAGTTGATTTTTATTTCAAATTTGGTAAAGAATTTGGACGTAACGTTGAGGCAAATGTTGTTTAGTTTATTNGTTTAGTTTATTCTTATGCATAACATTTTTTTTTTTCAGATGTTTTGGAATTCGTTTTTTTTTTTTTTTTTTTTTTTTTGGGTCCGCGTTCGGCCGAACGGCCGAACGTGTCGAGAGGGGGTCCCCAACGTTCGGGCGTTCAGCCCATCCCGAACGCCGGCAACCCTGGGAAATACAATATTTTCCACCCATTCAACTAGATACACTCTTTTCAAGCCATTCAACTAGTCTCAGATTCATTTGTATCCAAACCAGGTCCTTGGGACCACACTCAACGCCGAGGGGGGAAAGGGGTCTCGAAAATCCGACACTGGTCGTAAAGGGATTGCTGGGTCGACCATAGTCCAATCATTAAAAGCAAGACTATAATCCCGACTCAGTTCTTCTTCTTCACCTCTCATTGCCCCTTCCCATTTAACCTTCCCCAGCCTTCCCCCATGGGTTCCCCATACCTTCTTCCCCCAAATACAACGTACAGTCATTATAGCTGAATTTGGTGTGTCTTTCAGTCTAAATTCAGCTATAATGACCGTACGTTGTATTCGGGGGAAGAAGGTAGCCAGCATTGGTTGAATTGTTGAATGTGTTGAAGGATTTCTTTTCGTGGGAATAAAAATTGAACTTTTTCCTTATGCTGCTCCCATTTCATAATGATGTCAGTTTGTATTTGTTGTTTAACTGTGTCAGTGAATTCTGGTCCATCCCGACGAACTCCTTCCATTTCATGCATACATCTTCTCAAACATATGGCCCATGGTACTGCTCTCCATTGGAGTGCAAATTCCAAAATTCCAAATAATCAATTGTTCAGGGGAAAAAAATAAAAAAAGTAACTTGTCCTATTGTCATTATCTGTTTGATATCATCTGTTGATATCTCAATTCCAATTTCCTTTGGGAATTGATGGGGTTAGCTTTAGACACAATTTTCAAGTGATCGATCACGTAGAAACTTGTCAAATTCAAATTGTCATCTTCCATCTGTCTGACATCATCAGGGAATTACTGGTTTCAAATTCTCACCGTCCATCTGTCTGACATCATCTTTCTTTCTTTCTTGCTTTTTTCTTTCCTTTTTTTACTGGTGGTGGCTTTTTGGGATAATAATCACTCTTAGCATCATCAGTTTCACTCTTGGTTAACACGGATGCTGGACCTGTTCTCCAGCGTAAGCCGAAGCCGGGTAAGGGCCCCGCTATCATATGTTGTTTCCACATTTCTACAGTTCATAACTAAAACCTTCAAATTGGGCACCGGACCCCATTCGTTAAAAAAAAAAAAAACAGAATCAAAGCCTTGGGCACTGGGCCGCGTTTATTTGAGAAAGACAAAAGGAAAACGACTTCCACGTAAAAAACGCAGCGTCAAACATGCTAAATCCCCTACCAGCCATCACTGGTGTTCTAGAAGAAATACAAAACCAAAAACACAAAGAGGCATCACAGCACAATCTCCCCACAAAACTCTTTGCCAGGTTCATGTGTAACGGAGAAACTTCACCAATGGAGTCATCGTCTCCTGGATCATTTGCACGGGTACACGTCACTCACTTACCCCCGGCGAGAGCAAAACTGCCATAGCCAAACCCAAAGACTGACGCACCCCGCACCCGTGCCAAAGCTGTTCTTTTTGTTTCATTGGTGTTATTCAGGTTCAATGCCATTTATATTTCAGAATCTTTGGGTTGGCCACATCCCTTACTAGTTTGGAACTGGAGCCGGGCAGACCCGAGGCGGTTTTTTTTGTTTTTTTGTTTTGTTTTGTTTTGTTTTGTTTTGTTTTGTTTTGTTTTGTTTTGTTTTGCTTTGTTTTGTTTTTTTTTTCAAAAAGAAGAGGGTTTGAGAAGAAAGGCTCACAGGTAGTGCAGAATTTCATCCATTACCTATGAATACCTAGGACTACCACCTTTTGATGACACGCGGAGGATGCGTCCAAAAGACCTCAACAACAAGGAAACTTTTGCCATTGGATTTCCCGCCCAACTGTGCAACGCCCAAAGCCTCAATCCTGGTGGTTCTCTTACCACCGCCGGGATAGAGGCCTTGCAAGGCCTTGCAAGAGGGTTTTCGGGGGGCGGGTAGGGGGGAGGAATTGCTCAGAGCCTCCTACAAATCATGGAGGCCTAGAAAAGGTTGTACCAACAACCACTGCACCCAACCCTATTTTGCCAAAAGCTCTACTTTTTTCCCTTCCAAACACAATCATTTTGTTCCTGGTAATCTTTTCATGATAACTCCACCATTAAAACCATGGACATTGGACACGGTCTCCGCCCGCAGTATCAAGACACCAATAGAAGCAACTCATTCAAAAAAAAAAAAAAAAAAAAAAAAAAAAAAAAAAAAATCAATATCCCCAAAGGCTACATAGGAAGAGGCAGACAGGTCACCAACCCAGAACGTCTAGGCGTGTAGGTAAGAGCCAACCCATCCATAAAAGCAAAAAGAAAGCATGTGGAAGTCATCATCCTCATCCAGAGAAAAAGTTCCCAAATCAGCCAAAAAAAAGTCAAAAAGGAATTCCTTCATCCGCCCTGTCAATGGCAATCAACGCCGAGCGCATCACCCAATGCTTAGAAAAACAACCCACACCCTTGTACAGGGGGGAGCCCACTCTTTCTTTATCTTCCTTCCCAATCTTAAAAATCAGCTGTTCCAACACCCTCTCTAACAAACCAAACAAAGAAGGGAGCAAGAAGGCTTTTCCCCTCAGGCTGGTGAATGTCTCTTTTGCCCGAGGCGGGAGTGGCTAAAACTTGGGCAGCTTGTAAAAGACCAGTCACGGGCGCAAGCAAGAGAAAAACTGTGGCCGCTTATCTGGACCGTTACGGTCCTGACCCAAAAAGTTGAAAACAACAAAAAAGGGGTTAAGAAAAGAAAAAAGGGGTAACTTCAGTAGAGTCACAAAAAACTGAGTTATGATTGGATTATGGGGCAAGATACAGTTCACAATTGCACTTCAGGCAACCCCCTACCTGGCCAGAAAGTTGGGTTGTATACATTGCCCACACTGCAATTGGACACTGTATCTTGGCCCGTAGTGCAATTATAACTCTTCTTTGTGACTCCTTTGTGACTCCCGTCACGATCCAATGGCCCAGGTTGGTGACAGCAGGTTTTTCCACACCACCACCTCAGGGCCTCAGGCGGCTGCCGTGCTGATGATTTGGCAGGCTATCAGGTGCAGTCATGAACTGAGCTTGGGAGTTTCGGTGGGCCAAGGTTGCGGAAATCGGACTCGACAGAATCCAGGAGAGAGTGACATGATGTATAATTACATACCTGTCCCAACAATGCATCCAATGCCAAACATCAATGTGTCGAAGGCATTGAGCTCTCTCTTCATGCGACCACTGGAAGGACCAACTGACTCACTCAAGTCTGTTGCTGACTTTCGCAAGAAGCTCCGCTCCTTCAACCTCCTCGGCGTGCTGCCCACCAATGTCACCAGAGCATCCAGACTACTTGAACTTTCAATTGACTCCATCTCGTTCGCCGACTTTTGATCCGTAATAACTTAATAAGACTCTCATGCAAGAGGACCACAATATCACTTCACACTAAGGAAAAGGAAGCAAAGGCAAAGCTACGGTAGGGAGAAGATAGGGTGAGTGCCTAACTAACCTGAACAACTTTCCACGACCGGAACTACACATGCCTTAGGGTCCAGAGTCCATTGTCTAAGAAAAGGGAGCCAAATAGAATTGTATGGTTGCATCCTATTGAATTGCTCTGACATTCCTAAGTCACTAAAAGGCAATGTATTAGTTTATGTTGCTACGCCAGCATTGCCCCGCAACCACTGACCACCATCATGTGTGATTCCCCCCCCCCGACAACGGCGGATTACCCTTCGACTCGCTATAGGGGAGGAATTTCCCCCCCTCTGGTTCTGAAGGAATACGAGAACTTTGCGGCAGCCTAAAGCCAGTTGGACAATCACAACACAAATATCTTCCCCATGCAACTATTGCTCCTGTGCAAGCACCCAAACAGTACCCCTCGCTATAGGGAGGAATTCCCCCCTTCTTGAAGCGTAAGACTCAAGAGTTTGATGGGCGTAAGAACACGTGCTGGACCCCCGCTAACCAAAGACAGAGGCTGCCCCTTTTACCATTCCTTCTAAAAATGAGTCTCAGCAGGATCATCTAACATCTTCTGCAAGTCATGCCAAGGAGATGATGTGATGTAATGCCGCAACATGATGAACTTCAAGTCTCTCTTTTCTTAGCCACTCTCTCTTTTGCTCTTGGTTTTGCTGAAGCACATGCTGCCAACATCATAAATTTTCACAATCATTCCGGATTGACACAATTGCTCAGTAAGGTGCCACAGAACTTCACCATACATATACTGCCAAAGGACTCCAAACAATGGGGTTTCATACATGGTACCTAAACTAATATCTGATGTCTCTTCAGTTTCCTCATTCAGTTCAGTTGTTTTGCAATCCTTCCCATAATTCTCTTTTTCCCATTTTTAATAACTATTTAGTATTTAATATTTTATACTTTGCCATAATACACACAATTAGGTGACATCATTCGGAAGGGCCAGACTCACACCATTATCTTTTCCATACCCCTCTAAATTGGGCCTGTATTCCCAAAAGGTCCAACTTTTGAAAAAAAATGATTGGGTAGCAATCAAGGGGAGCACAGACAAGGTGGGTAACATGATAATAGATGTACATAAAGATGGGGAAGTATTGGTTAAGTCCAAAGACAAAATGGCAACAGGCTCACCATGATTCTCCTGGAAGAGGTCAGTTGGCCCACAAGAAATCATATTTTTTAAGGATCAGGGTGTTAAAGGAAAATTCTCAGAGCAGAGGACTGAAGAATTTTGAGTTTCAGGTTTACGACACACACAGCCGGAGGACGCTTAAACCACCAGTACCTCGCTCAGCTATCGGCCGCGGGCCTTCCCGTATACGCGCCGCAGCCTTAGGGGGGTCGGCCAAGGGAAGGCCCGGTTGCTGCTTCTTGGCCGGAGCCCGCCAAGTACGGGGTGTCACCTCACACAATAAGAAAAAAAAAATTATAAACACAAAAAAAAAAACGAAATAAAAGAAGATAACCGTCGTTGCTTCTTGGCGCGCCGTAGGGGAGAGAGAGAGAGAGAGAAAGAGAGAGAGAGAGAGAGAGGCGCCCTCC